CCTCGGCTCCCACCCTCTGTGCCTCCAACAGCGATGCCGTACTTTCTGGCACAGTTTCTGGGGTCCCTACGCTGACCCCTGAGCGGCTCCGCTGTCTGCAAGTGCTTCGACTGCTCTGCCAGAAAGTTGTGTTGGCCAGCAGTGCAGAGACTTGACATTTTTGGTGGATACTGAAAGAAATGCTATTTTTATGTCGTTGACATCCACATCCTCCTTAACTTTAGAAGAAGCACTGAACTCTGTGGGCTCTTCAAATCGCTGAATCTGTGAGAGGAATTTGAGTTGCTTTGTTAAAGCCATTGGGGACGCAAGGATATCTCAGGCCATTGGTTGTCCCAAGGAATGACTGTTTTTGTATGAAACAGCCTAGTTTGTTTCTGCTTAAGACAGGAAGCCGTAGGCAGACTTGTGTTGTGGCTTTTTTAAGGATATTAAAAATAATGTCCAAACGCTGCAGCTGATAATCCTTAAGGAACTTCTTTTGCTTATTCTAGCCTTCTGCGATGTGAATAACGGAGTTTACTGACGTGTTAATCCAGGCAATGGTTAAGAGCGAGCACTTCAGTTGTCTGACTTCATGTTTGTAACCTAATTCAGTTTGGTGCTAGCTTCATGCCACTGCCTTTCTTGGCTTCAGAAGCTTGAGAAATTATTTTCTAAGCAGTGATCTGTTACAGTTATTTTTTAATACATCAGTGAACTACTTAAAGCTGCTAGTAAGCCTCTCGCCTCAGCATCATGTAATTGCATCCCTAGGTGGGACTGATGATATTTCCTTGGAACTTAGAAATGCAGTGGCGTGCTGCATAGCTTGGCTAATGGGCTGTACCCTCCTAGGGCTGCTTGCTTCATGTGACAGGGAAGTTAGTGTTGATGGAGAGAGTGGCTGTGCAGTGATACTGATGACTTCAGAAAATAGGCTTTGCATAAAGGCATACTACACTTTCTTCTTCATAATCCCAGTCTCTAATGCACCAGTGCAGGCTGGGGCTGACCTGCTGGAGAGCAGCCCTGTGGAGAGGGACCTGGGAGTGCTGGGGGATGACAGGGTGACCATGAGCCAGCAGCGTGCCCTGGCTGCCAAGAAGGCCAATGGGATCCTGGGGTGCATTCAGAGGAGTGTGGGCAGCAGGTCGAGGGAGGTTCTCCTTCCCTTCTGCTCTGCCCTGGGGAGGCCCCATCTGCAGTGCTGTGTCCAGTGCTGGGCTCCCCAGTTCAAGAAAGATGAGGAGCTACTGGAGAAGAGAGTCCAGAGGATGGCTGTGAGGATGCTGAGGGGACTGGAACATCTCTTCTACGAGGAGAGGTTGAGGGAACTGGGCTTGTTCAGCCTGGAGAAGAGAAGGCTGAGAGGGGACCTAATACATACTTACAAATATTCTCAGGGTGGATGTCAGGAGGATGGGGCCAAGCTCTTTTCAGTAGTGCCCAGCGACAGGACAAGGGGCAACGGGCACAAACTGAAGTCGAGGAAGTTCCAGCTGAAGATGAGGAAGAACTTCTTCCCTCTGAGGGTGACGGAGCCCTGGCTCAGGCTGCCCAGAGCTGTGGAGTCTCCTTCTCTGGAGATATTCCAACCCCGGCTGAACGCGGTGCTGTGCAGCCTGCTCTGGGTGACCCTGCTTCGGCAGGGGGTTGGACTGGGGGATCCCCAGAGAGCCCTGCCACCCCTGACCATTTTGTGGTTCTGTGATGTTCTAGTCTGTCTGTTTTAACATCACAACTATTCTGCTTTGAAAAATGAACCTTCATAAGAGCTACTGTGAAGTTTTCAGATGTATTACTTTATTTTGTAACTGTGAAGTAAAACAGCAATAATTTTTTTTTTTTTGAGAATTTGCAATAGGGTTAAACTTCAGCTGTGGAAGCTATCATTATCTTTTAGCCCCACCTGACAGCAGTGCCTTTTGAAATTCTCGGTATGGTAAATGGTGTTCCTACCCAAGCAGTATGTTGCAAGAAGCTAAATTTGTCCATAAGCTTTGAAATTCCAACTCAGATTAAAACTGAAAAGCAGGAAACAGTCAAAAGCGGTAAGGACTGTGCCACAGATGGTGGTGGTAACAGCTGTCTTGAGATCAGTCTTCTAATGCTGTTGGATCCATAAACCAGAGCGTGAGACAGATCGTCACCAAAGGTGAATTACTACCAAGTCTTGTAAAATTCCTTTTTTTTCTGTTGCCCAGGAGTTTCAGGTCATCTATGGAAAGCTCTGAGATTTTCTTCTTTAGCATATAATTTTTTTTCTTCCTTTTTTGTCTTCTGATTGCAGGAAATTTTAGCTAAATGAAAGCAACCTGAGCAAATTAAAATGTTATTTGGACACTATTTTGCCTGACTCTTTTGCTTCCTAGGAAATAATTAAGGTAGCCTTAGTCAAAAATTCATGTTAATCTGTTTGTAAAAGGAATGTTTGAACTGTTGCTTCAGGAGAGTCTTGCCTCAGTTTTTCAAAACTCCAGACCGTAAACCGTAGTGTACTACATGTTATTCTGTTCTTGCAGGCAAGCAATACAGCGTATCCTAAAAAACTATTAAAGTTGCTGTGTGATTAAATAATCTTGTTTTAAAGTGAAGCTAGGTATTGAATTATGGTAGTATGAAATGAGGTTTTAATGTACTCTGGCCTGAGTCTCTTTTCGGATTAGTCATTTGTTTTCTGGTTGACTGCCTATGAACAGCTCAAAGAGAAGCTTTCGCTTCTGGGATTTAATATCTGTTGTGCCCCATTGTTTTTTGTTTTGTTCTTAGGCCTTTTTTTTTGAGCTGGGTTGTGACTCATGGCTCTCTTTGGTTGCAGAGCCATCGGAGAGCCTGAGCAATAATGGCTTGCGTTTTTGTTTTAAGGCACAAAGAGGTTAAAATTTATTTTAAATTCACATGTCTCATCCTGCTAGTGTTGAAGATCTGTTGCCAAGCAATGGAAATAGCTTTAGATTTTGAACGAATTTTATGGAATATTTTTTCCATAGTGAAAGTTCTTGCAGCTCACATCACTGTGCTTTTATCTGCATTTTTTGTATCCTTGCAAAGAACCTCCCTCTGTGCAGAGCTGGTTTCCCCATGCTGCAGAGGCTGCCTTGTGGCAGGCAGTGCGGAAGCTGAAGCTGGCTGACCTCTATTTTAAATGTCAGGGGTGCTTCACCCTTGCCTTTCAGATTCCATTAGCCTTTTTTAACCCTTCCTTAGGACCCTGCTTGAAGCAACACTGTTTTAGAGAAGCACTTGTGCAGCCTGAGCTGTGCTGTCACACAGCTGGAGTAACTACTTCTTACAGCTGTGTATCATTTGCCTTCTACACTGTGGTGTTGGCAAGCCTGGCTGGCTTGTGCTGTCTTCATTACAGCTGTGAAGTGTCCTGTTCAAACGGGATGTCAGTAGACAGGCTGAATTTGCTTGATGACCAAATGAATTTACAAAGCCTTCAAAATCCCTGTGTTACAAAGTATGGGTACTTACTCATCCACTTCTTTCAACACAGCATCTTATGGGTGAATTGCTCCCACTTAGTACATGTTGTAAAAGGGCAGACAGCGAAGCTCTTCTGTCATTGTTTTTCTTTGTCAGACTGGACTCGCCTTCTCTCGCTTCCTCGCAGGTCTCTCCAGGCATGTCCAGGATAGTGTGGTTGGTATTACCATGACTGTCTAATTCTAATCATAATGGGTAATTTAATCACAGAATGTTTGGGGTTGGAAGGGCTCTCTGGGGATCCCCCAGCCCAACCCCCTGCCCAAGCAGGGTCACCCAGAGCAGGCTGCACACCCCTGCTCCCGGCCGGGGTTGCAATATCTCCAGAGAAGGAGACTCCCCAGCCCCTCTGGGCAGCCTGGGCCAGGGCTCCGTCACCCTCAGAGGGAAGAAGTTCTTCCTCGTCTTCAGCTGGAGCTTCCTCGGCTTCAGTTTGTGCCCGTTGCCCCTTGTCCTGTCGCTGGGCATCACTGGAAAGAGTCTGGCCCCATCCTCCTGACACCCACCCTAAAGATATTTATCGGCATTTCTAAGGTCCCCTCCCTGCCTTCTCTTCTCCAGGCTGAACAAGCCCAGCTCCCTCAGCCTCTCCTCGTAGGAGAGATTCTTCAGTTTCCTCATCGTCTTTGGAGCCCTATTAATATTAAAGCTTCCATATTTTGTCCCATTGTTTTCTAGCCTCAGTATTAGTTGAGGGTGCTGAATAACTGTGAAGAACAAATAGTGTGTTTTGTACACTCTGAAGTTCATAGCTTTGACAGTGATGCAATCTTAGGAAAATACTGAATGAACGGATTTCAGTAATCGGCATCTCTTACCCACCCTGCTATGTAATGTACTGTGTGCTGCACAGGATTGACTTAAAAACATTCATAGGACTGTAGCATTTCCTATCTTAAGGTAAAAACTCAAATGAAGTCTTTGAGATGTGTATAATCCCTCAATTGGACAAGGAATGGCAGTAAATGCGATCTCTATACATGGAAATGGCGAACACTTATACTTTTTCATAAATGCAATGACTGTTTTCAGAATGAAGTGGGTTTTGGGTCAGAAGAGTTGCTTGCTACTGTTCTATTTAGCCAAACTTTTTCCTTGTCAGGTGCCTGCTCATTTTAGTCGTGTGTTTCAGTGATAAAGGCATGGGGTAACAACATTTTTAAGAATGCTCTGACCTGTCTGGTGTTCATGTCCCTTTTGTTGGTACAGAGAGCCCTCCTGTGCAGATCGGGAGCTCCCCACGTAGGAAATGCCGAGATCGCCCTTGCACCTTTGTCCAGATTCCTGCCGTGATTGCACAGTTCTTGGGCTTTTTTCTGGGCATCGGCTGACAGTTGCCGTCAGGGTGCTGGGCTGACCGGCCCCTTGCTGGGAGCTGCTGTGGCCTCTTTCAGGTGACCGCAGAGCGGCCGACAAGCGAGTCCCCGCTGCCGTACACACTGTGCCAACATCAGCATGTCACCGCAGGGAGCTTTCGGTTGCAATGAGCTGTGCAAGGGTAGGTGAAGTGGTGTAACTGTCACCTAATGATGGTACCAGAAATGGAGATTGGCTATGGTAAGAACCATAAGACTGTCAATATTTGAATATTTCTTTTTTTATCTTCAGAAAGATATATCCAGTGGCTTCTTTGGAGAATTCTTTCTGTAGTGGCTGTCGCGTACTGTGTGTAAAATGCATTCTCTCTGAATTTTGAAGTAATTGGAAAAGTTTTGTTTTTAATTCTCTGTATACATATGAGACCCTCCTAAATAAAGTTGAAAATCTAAGTTTGTAGAGTAGTGAAAGTGGCTTTTACAGTGGTGCATGTGACACCTTCAGGACGAGCACTTTTTTTTTAACCCCTTTATATCCAGTGTATGTGCTGAGCAGGGAAAGTGCCAGAAACAGCTGGGGTTTTCTCGGAGAGAAATACCCATCTTTGTTTGACAGCTTGTGATAAACGGGGGCTTTGACTCTCTTGTGCCTGCCTCAGTGACGATTCATGTAACTTGAAAAGATTTATATTTGGGTTTACAGTGTCAGCTTTATTTTACTGTGCCTGTTTACAGACCTTTCCTGCGGATGGGGAGGAAGGAAATACTGCTTTGAAGTTAGGATTTTTGTCTGTCTTCCAACAGCACAGATCAAGAATTAACATTTTCCAAGGCTGCCTGCCTTGGAAAAACCTGTTCTGAAGTCTGTGCTCCTCACTTCCAGGCTGCCTGTAGCTGGAAAGCGTGTTCATGACTAGGCAAACACATCGGCAGCAAGAGTTCTGGAATCTTTTATAAATAAGGATGATGCAGAAAGGAGAATGATAGAAATAAGAGTTACAATGAAGGCTGATTTGTGTAGACAGGCATTTTATAGGATAGGAAGAACTTGTTGCACTGCAGAACTAGGAATCACTGAAAAACAACGAGCATATAGTTCAAATCCTAATTTCAAGAACTAAATGAAGACCTTCATCTTCTTTTGCAGAACCAAAAAACGAAAGAACAGATTGAAAGCTTGTTACAGAACGGAAAGCATAAAGAATTACGGGATCGTCTCTGCTGCAGGCTGACCTTCGGGACTGCCGGGCTTCGCTCTGCCATGGGAGCAGGCTTTTGCTACATCAATGATCTGACAGTGATCCAGTCAACACAGGTAAGCTGAGCAGTTGTACAGGAGAGGACTGAATGGGTTCACAGTAAATGTTTGGATTGTACAGTAAACCACTGAAATACAAGTGGAGGGTGAAACACAGAAGGCTTTCAGCAGCAGAGTGATAGCATGAAATGTTCAGTGTTGGAAGAAAATAAAGGAGCTTGAACAGGTTTAACTGGGCATCCTAGGAGGCAGAATATAGTTGCTTCCACTGAAATTTGGCGGGTAGTTAAAGTCTTATTATATACTTACAACTATTATGATCATAGACCTATAATATACCTTATATATATAATATCTTATACTATATATAGTGCTCTAAAGTTGGTAGTCATTAGCTTTCATAAAAACTTTCAGAATTTGTCAAAAACTAAAAAAAAAAAGCCAAAGAAAACCCAAAAAGCAAACCCACTCCCAACCAAACAATACTTTTCTTCCATTTTTATCCAAAATTGTGAAGAACTGGACAAAATAGCAGGTTTTACTAAGAAAATGAACAGGAAGTAAGATGAAAAAGCACATGTAGGCTGACTGTGAAGAACATCTGTATTGTAAATTGTTTTAACTTCTGGGGAATCCTGCCAGTAGTGCTGGTTATGTTACCTACAACTGGATTGAATAGTTTGAGAAAGTGCTGTGGTTGAGTGCACTGGCACTGCTGTAGGTCTGGGCATTTTTTTTAAGTAGATGCAAGAAAATAATTTGAGATACGAGCCTAAACACTCGAACTGCAAATCTTACATTACATACTGTATTGGAGAGGTCCATGATTCATGGTTTATCTAGGATTTAATATTTGTGTATTTGGGTTAGAGGTATCATTACAGAATTATTTGCTAAGAAATTACTGTAAAGAGATGTTGATCTTTTTGAGTTCTTCGAAGTTTGGAGTAGAGTGTTTTGGGATGGACTTCTTGATCTGACTGTAGACAGGAGATGTTGGAACTTAGATGCAGCTGTTGACTGCGATTCTGACAATTGTGTGTTAGAGCTGTTGGAAGGGGTCTAATTGGATGCGTGTGCGTGCGGGCTGAAGTTTGGGCCAGGGAAGCTTTAGTCCTAATTTCCTGCTCCTCTGCCAGAGATCAGGCTCCGCTTGGTGGTGGTGCTGGATGTGTGTTTAGAAGGACACAAGAGCTGGTACGTGGAGTTGAGGAGCTGGGTAGAGGCTGCCGTGGAGTCGTGGAGGGTATCAGTGCTGTGGTGGGGAGGAGTGGTGGCAAAGGCTCCTCACTTCTGACACATCTTGTGGTTGAACCATGTTTTAGGTTCTTTAGACTAGCTGTTTAACTTGGTTAACAACCAGAAATACAATTTTCTGGACTTGTTTCTTCAATATCTTTTACCTTTCTTTTTTCCTCTGATTTTGGCCTTGCATGCCAGAAGAGGGCTGGAAGATGATCAGACTCTTCTGCGTTTCCCTCCCTGCTTCTCTTTCAAGCAATGTTAAGGAGTTGTATGTGTGTTCATTGTCCAAATAAATCAATTTATTGAGTAATAAAAGGCTTAATCATCTCTGCTTTGCTTTGAAGTGCTGTTTTTTTCAAGGGCAGATGTTACAATCTTTCTTAAAGAACTTCGTCCCCTGTTGTCTCATTTCTTTCCCCACCTTCTTGATAAACACCTTGAGGAGGAACAGTTGATGTTGATTTAGTTTTTGATCGAAGTGCTCCATGCTCCTTTTCTAGGTTGATGTCTCATTGTGGATTTGTTCTTAAATTTGCTTATTGTACAGTACCAGGGTGCCTTTCAGCTGGTGTGTTCCTCTATGAATTGTCCCCCAAAACAGTAGATTAAATACCTAATCTTCACAACTAAACCTGGTAAGAAATTAATTCAGAGTACATTTGAAATTGATCTGATATTACTGAGACTTGAGCATGTGAAAGAAGAGTCTGAACTTGAACATTGATTTATCTAGGGTTGTAGTCCTGTTAAACTACTGTTCCTGTCTTTGATGCTCATTCTTGCGCATACTTTATTATGGTAAATATTAAGCAAAAAGCAGTTGGATTTTTAATCTGCAGAATATAGCTTTCTCTCACCCCGGTGAAGATAGTGGGAGGCAAAGAAAGAGAAGTGTTGAGTCCTTCTGAAAACAGATAGCATGAGTCAGAAAATGGATGTTTCGTATTTCCTTTCCTTATGAAAATACAAAATACAAATGGGTTTGGACTGCGTATATCAAATATACTACCAAGTAACAAGCGATAGGACGAGAGCCAGTGGCCTCAAGATGTGTCAGGGGAGGTTCAGACTGGATATTGGGAAAAATTTCTTTCCTGCAAGAGTGGTCAGGCATTGGCCCAGGCTGCCCAGGGCAGTGGTGGAGTCCCCATCCCTGGAGGGGTTCAAAAACCGTGTGGATGTGGCCCTTGGGGACATGGTTGAGCAGGCATGGTGGGGTTGGATGGATGGCTGGACTTGATGATCTCAGAGGTCTTTTCCAACCTTAATGATTCCGTGATTTACAAAGGGTTGATAAAATCTCTGATTTAATACTGTGTACTTAACTGCAGAGACGACCATTTTATAATGTTTTAATGCTCTGATAGACGTCTCTCAGTCGACATGACTGAAAGAACTTGTTTTCTTTTGGCTCAGGGCCAAGTGGTGTGCTTAAAACTTAGAACAGCGGCGACTTTATTACGCAGTTTGACATACTGCTGGTGTCTGACTTGTACAACTGGAGCCCAGGCTCTTGCGGTGAAACCAAATTCCAGTAGCTGTTTGTACAGGCTTTGAAAATAATAACAGTAGCATGTTGGAGCTTATTGATAGAGCTTGAAACCTGGTCTTATATCTGACCCATTTTTTCTGTTTAGTTTTGTCTGGGGTCTAACAGAAAGTTTTCTTTGAGTTTCTAACCTCTGAAGTGGACACATCTTAGAAAGATGCTTCCTTTAATTCTAGCCTTACTAGTCTAAGTATGTCAAACTCATCTGCTACAAATACTGTCATGGCATGAACAAAACTTACTGATGTACTGATCCAGTGGGAATGAGCTGAAGAGATTAAAAAAAAAATAGTTTAAAAACTAGTAGTTTGTTGCCAGTGGTGGAATTGTTGAGAGTAGTAAAGCTGCTTCAAACAAGTCCAGTTTTCTTTGAAGCAGAGTAAACATCTTGGAAATGCAGAGGAAGTTGGTAATAGTTGCTTTACTTTTTGGCCTGTGCAGCCTGTTGAATTTGGAGTTGCTCACGCTCCCGGTGCGTGAGAGTTGCATGCTGCCGTTGTGTTTCCCGTCTCGTGAAAGCGTGACTGAGCGCTGACTGATACGCATGCTTGGCAGAAAGTGAAAAGTTTCGTTTTGGTCAGCAGGGAATGTGTTTGCAAGTTCAGTTTCATGGGCGTTACTGGTTTCTGAGAGTAACAAACTGGGTTGTATTCATTTGCTCCCTCTGTGGCGCTTCTATTTTTAGCTGTTTGTTAAATCTGTGTATCAAGTTAGAAAAAGAAGTCTCTGTGAAGTTGATTAATACTTGTTTCTGAAGTAAACTGCATCAGATTTAATCTCTTTGAGTACTCTTGTTTCAGAAGATAAGGACATTAACAGTTTCGCTCAACCTGATCTGAAAATGGGCAACGCTGTGTCTCTGTGCTTCTCCTTACCTGCTGCAGGGATGAATGGCCATTCAGAAAAGTAGACTTCAGTGTAATTAAAATATTTCCTTCAATTAAAATAAAGCTTAGTGAAGTTGCGTGCTTAAGCGCATGCTGTGTTCTTCAGATCCAGAAGGGTACAGAATATCCAGAAGTTGCTTTTGATGCTTCTGAAGATTGTAGCTATGGAACCTAGGCATGAAGCCTAGATTTATTTCCCTGCTCAAGTACTACTTCTGTCCCATTGAACCAGTTGTTTTTGTTAATAGGCAAGTTAACCCATCACTGACCTCCACAATGACAACACCTCGAATGTTTCCAGGCATGGGGCATCTAACACCAGTTGTCATTGCATCATTGCTAGGAGATTCCTGTTGCTATACAAGCAAAGCTAAAGATAATAGTTGAAAGATTTAAATACTGGACTTCATAAAGCTGTTACTAACTCTCTTGATTTCACAGAATGTTAGGGGTTGGAAGGGACCTCTGTGGGTCATCTAGTCCAACCCCTCTGCTGAAGCAGGGTCACCCAGAGCAGGCTGCACAG